TGTAGCATCACTTACCCAGGGGCCGTGCCATCCCTAGTCATTGATGTGAGGAACCACAATCACATCACAATCCACACAATCTCTTGCAATTAACCCTATGCCAGGGCTGCCATATTTGACATAAGTGATACGTGTTAATTGCCTTACTCATCTCACACCATGCCAGGGTCACGCCCTCCTTGTAGCATCACTTACCCAGGGGTCGTGCCATCCCTAGTCATTAGTGTGAGGAACCACAATCATAATCATATTCACATTCATCACATCTCATCTTATAGTTCAATTCCATATCACATACACAACAGATAAGTCCAACAAAATATATAAGGGTTTACACACCCCTCAAGCAATTCACATCTAGATCATCAATTCTTATCAATCAATACAATAATAACATTCATAAATTAATATAATAATCAATGAAATTATCAATTTAATATAATTTTAACACAAGCAGTAAAACCCCCAATTGTTCCAAAACTTAGCTCACAGGCACTTTTCTACAGTTTCGTTCTCCCTCTCAGATCATCATTCTTACAAATTAAATATATATTTCTAATCCTCAACACATATAGAATCTAATGGGATCATCAATTTCTCAAACAGAAATAATCCAATTTTTCCAAAACCTAACTTACAAGCAGTTTTCTATAATTTCGTTCTCTCTCCCAGAGCATAATTTTTACAAATAAATCATATATTCATAGTTCTAAATACATTCAGAATCACATAAGATCAATAATTCTCCAAACAGAAATAATTATAAAATTACTCATAATCCTAAGGGTTCTTCCTCTACCCAATTCCCTCATGTAACTCTACATATAAATAATCCCTTTTTCCCCCGTACCTGGATAAACAACAATTGAACTAAAACAGGGATCTCTTGGTCTCCTCCTCTAAGTGTCCCTTGGTCTTCAGAGAGAATAAGAGGGAAATAAGTGAGAACAGAAGAGAAGAAATCAGAAAATGAGAGGTGTGCTTTTTGGGAGTGGCAGAGCGCTCTATTTATAGGCATCAGGCTTCGCCGGAACGGCCCGTTCTGGACCCTTAACTCAGGACTAAAAATCACATCTAGAACGGCCCGTTCTCAAACCAGAACGGCCCGTTCTCAAACCAGAACGGCCCGTTCTGGGGTGCATTTAATACTCACAACGGTCATATTTTGGAACGGCCCGTTCTCAACTCTGGAACGGCCCGTTCTCAATTTGGGAACGCCCCGTTCCCATCTAAAATTTGTAGCTAATTTTTGTATTTTGGAACGGCCCGTTCCAGTTTGGGAACGGCCCGTTCTGGGATACAAAATCACTCTCGTTTTAGTCATTTGGAACGACCCGTTCCGATTTGGAAACGGCCTGTTCTGGGCTACTAAAACACCCTTACGAATTACTAAATTACCCTTATTAAGCTTCTGGGCCCTCGTACATTCTATGAAAATTGGGCTGTTACAGTTGTTATTTCTTTATTTTGTTGTCATATTGATTTCTTTCACAGGCCTACCCTTACTTTTTCATGTTGTTGGACTACAATGATCTCAATATGGGAAACAGGGCATGATTCGATTGGAGGGTTTTGCTTGGTGGATGGTCATGTTGGAGATGACTTGATTTTTGTTGTATTGTTATAATATACTATTCGTATAGAGACGTTCGACCAATGTTAGGGTTATTTTGTATTCAATATTCTATATTTTGAGTTTAAATTCCTTTTGAACAATTATAAGTCTCAGCCTTAGGCTAGAAAATTGTAGCAAAATATTTTACAAAAACAAGAGGTGTTTACATACATTTTGTAACTAGTGCTTCACAAATTTTGTAGTATTTTTAAGTCAAATTTTAGGCACTATTTTTCTTTTGTTTTCTCATGCATTAAGGATACATACATCAAATTAAGTGCAAATGGAAATTCTCACAAGTTGGCCAAAATTTTAACAATATGTGTAAAGGTACTAGTCACACACGGATGATTTAAGTGACATAGAACATGCTAGAACTAAGTAGAATGCATGAATGACTCTCTAAAACACACTAAATCCCACAGCCAATTCATCAAACATATAGCATGCATTTCATATTTTGATCACAAAAACGTATAGGCATGAATACTTGGAATTTTCTTTCAAGAAAAATTATGAAGAACAATACTCTTGTGACAAAACTTAAAGGATTATAAAATAAAAACACATGTTCATCATTTTTCTTCTCATGCACAAAATTTTCCAGCCACTCATACCTTAAAAGAAAATGGACAGGTACTAACCAAGAGGCTTAAGGCACCAAGATGATTCACAAGATAATTATGGCATGAATCAACAAACAAGACAAGACATATAGACCATGAGAATATAACATGACACTGATCTATTTTAGCAAAACTTCAAGACATTCAAGAAGACACCATGACATGAACGAAATTTTAGAAAGACTCAAATAGACTAGAAATCACCTTGAAGAACCTTGGCTCTGATACCACATGATGGAAGTCCTCCTAACATTGATGGATGAAGAAGTATCAAAGGGAGGCCTCCTTGCCTCCAAGGATCAAGGATCTTCAAATGCTCTAGTCTTGGATGATGAAGGTGGTCGAAAATGGAGATGGAAGGAAGGTATTTGATGAAATGTTTGAGAGCACTCTAGGGTTTGGCTCTCCAAGGTAGATGAAGGCCACTCCTAGAGTTTATGACTCAAGATGGAGAGTTGATGGTGGTGGCCGAAAATGACCAAGGGAGACTGAGGAAAAATATAAAGGCTCAAGGGCTCACTCTATATCAATATCCAAAGTATTTGCAAGGTGGGTGGCCTAGGGTATATATAGAAGGGAGGAAAGAATTAGGGTTGCATTTGTGAGTGAATGGTTGATCAATGCATGCCAAATGCACTCCAAATGCATCCTAAATTAACCCCAATGTGATGCCTACTTGGTGGCCAAGGATGGAATCTTTGGCTTGGTTAAGCTACAACTAGGGGCATAATAAGACCATGCAACCTAGGTGCCCTCTTCTTGGGCCTAAGCCTTTCCAAGTCCAAAAATATCTCTAATGATAACCAAAAACACGTCTAGGTCTAGTCTTCCAACCCTAATAAAATACCCTAGTTACAAAATAAAAATCCTATAATCTAAGGCACCCCAAAATACAAGGATAAAATGGAAAATACAAGTAAAAATAAATCCTACGTCTAAGGTACCCCAAAATACAAGGGTAAAATATGAAATTAAAGACAAGGGTAAAATAAGAATAAAAATAATTCATATACTAACAAGGCTTAGGAGAATGATCAATACTCTATAATCATGAGGAGCTTGTCTCTAGGAATGTTAGCTCCCCTATCCTCTTCCATTCTCCTAGCTATGGACCTAGTGATGGATCTCACATGTAGCTCCAAGGATGGTCCTCCATCTATGTGTTCTATGATCTATGACTAGATCTAATTCTAGAGTTTTGTATGATTTAGATCTAAATATAGAAAGAACACTTCATAGGTTAAAAGTTAGGAATAGTAGTAATGCAGTTACTAGTCTTATAGTTGTTAGTCCTACTTTTGTTGATCCTTTTATTTTTTATTTTCATTCTTGTAATTCTGAAAATTCTAAAACTGAAAATATGGATAATAACTGTGAGTTGTCTTTGAAGGAATTGGTTACACCTAATATTGTGTATCAACCATGGTGTGCCCAATATCCTGAAAATCAAGTTAATTATGATCTTAAATCTAGGCTAATCCATTTATTGCCTAAGTTTCATGGACTTGTAGGTGAAGATCCTCATAAGCATTTAAAAGATTTTCATGTAGTGTGTTCCACCATGAGACCTCAAGGTGTTCCAAAAGATCATGTGAAAATGAAGGCATTTCCTTTCTCTTTGGATGGTGTTTCAAAAGATTGGTTTTACTTTTTACCAACAACCATCACTACATTGCATGAGATGAAGAGATTATTCCTTGAAAACATTTTCCCTACCTCTAGAACTACAACTATTAGAAAAGAGATTTGTGGAATAAGGTAGCAAAATGGTGATACTTTGTATGAGTATTGGGAGAGATTCAATAAGTTGTGTGCCATTTATCCTCATCACCAAATTAATGAGCAATTGTTGTTGCAATATTTCTATGAGGGACTAATATTGATGGATAGGAGCATGATTGATGCAACTAGTGGAGGATCACTAATGGACAATACACTACTTGCTGCAAGGCAACTCAGTACAAACATGCCAACAAAAACTCAACAATTTGAATTCAAAGGAGTTGTTAAGGGAGTAAATAAGTTGACAACTAGTTCTAGTCCTAATGTCGGTGTTGTTTCTTATGTAAATAATCAGAGGTTGGAAAATAAGTTGAATAAGCTGACTACCATGGTGAGGCATCTAGCAATTGGCCAATAGCAACAATAAGGGTAGTAACCGAGTCACCAATAAGATTTTGTGAAATTTGTGCTTCCAAAGAACATCCTTCAGATGCATGTTCTACTCCATAAGAAATAGCTGCTAATGTTTCTCGAATGCACACTAGCCAACAATATAGACCTCCAAATCAACAACAAAATTATAATCCATACTCTCGCACTTACAACCCTGGTTGGAGAGATCATCCAAACTTGAAATGGGGCCAACAATCGCAACAGCAACTATAGATACCATTCTAACTTACAGGTAATACCAACCTCCATTCAAGCAACAACAACAACAACCTCCTCCTACTACTCCTCCCCCTATGCAGAAGAGTTGTCTTTCATTTAAAGAGATGATGCAACACATGGTTTCCAACAACATGTAGTTTCAACAAAATATGATTACTACTGGCCAAGATTTGAAGACTTAGATTAGACAGTTGGCCACTATAGTTAATCAACTCCAGTTACAAGGTTTTGGTAATCTTCCATCCCAAACAGTCATGAATCCAAAGGGGAATGTTAGTGCCATTACCTTGATGAATGGTAAGGAGTTCCCTCTCATTCCGGTGTGTTCGAACTGTTATAAAAATATAATAATATATATAATAATTTTATTACCAATAATAATAATTATATTATATTTAATTAAACTTTATTTATATATATACTTACATTTATAATTAACAATCTACTTATTTCTATTTAAAAT